GGGGAGGTTAATGAGACACATGGAGGGGCTGGGAGAATGAGATACATGGAGGTGCTGAGGGGATTAATGAGACACATGAAGAGGCACCAATAGAAAAATGGAGGGACTGGGGAGGGCAAACAGACACACATAGAAGGTTTAGGGGAACAAAGAGACACACATCGAGGATGGGGGGCACTAAAGACTCACAGAGGGGCAGAGGGGGGACACAGAAGGTCTGGGGGCATAAAGAGACACACAGAGGGGCTGAGGGGGGAGAAACAGATGCACAAAAGGGCTGGGGGAAGAAAGAGACACACAAAGGGGCCGAGAGGCAAAGAGGTACACAGAAGGGCTTGGGGGGACAAACAGACACACAGAAGGGCTGGGAGGGAACAGACACACAGAGGGGAAAGGGAAAAAGAGACACAAAGAGGAGGTGAAGGGGAAGAAGAGACACACAAAGGGGCTGGGTGAGAAACAGATGTACAAAGGGGCTGGGGGAAGTAATAGGCCTGCCAGCCAGCCACACCAGTCTGCCAGCCAGGCACGGCAGCCAGCTTGCCTCCCAGCCACAGCAGCCAACCTTCCATCCAGTCACAGCAGCCAGCCTGCCAGCCAGGCACAGTAGCCAGCCAGCAACAGTAATTAAGGTGAGATGAGCCAACTTGTGCTGGGTATCAGAGAGCTATGCTATATTACTATATTGTGAATGGGGGCCAGAGTGTTACAGAGACCCCTCTCCAGGGCCCATGTAGTCTCTACTGGGGCCTTATTTCTAACATACAGTTTATACATTTGTGCAATAAGTATTCTTGAAAAAAAAATAATTGCGGGTGTTTTGACATTTTGTTTATGGTGAGGGTGCCAAATATCAGGTCTCCCCTCGGTGCCAAATGCTCTAGGTACACCTATGCCTGAGGGAGAGGGAGTTTTGGGAGTTTTGATGATTGCCCAGGTGTGAGGAAAATAGCTTTTGACCGCCGCTTGCTATCAAATTGCCAACTTTTTTCCAAATTACAGTAAATCATCTATATTTCTGCAAGAAGTACCTTATTTTAGATTATGGGAAAGTGAAACTGAAAGATGTTTTGGGAAGTATATAATAAATGGATTTTCGTGTTGGGGCATTCGTTTCTTGATCGACTTTGGAAGTTCGCTTTAGATCTTGACATAAGGGTAAGTACACGCTATACATTATTAATTATTGTATAAAGCTCTGTGTACATTTTAATTTTAAATTATTTTAACTCTATCAGTGTCTAGATGTTTCACTAAAAGTGACAAAACCAGGTTCTACTCAACCAGTTTATTTTCTGGTAATTTGTTCACTAGACAGATTCCTGTGCAAAGGCAGTAGAGTGAAATGCAATTTTTTGAGTGCGTCTTTTTTACTTCAAGAGAACAATCTACCTGACACATGTATTTGATTTTTGTAATATAACCAAGTGGCTATTTACAGATATTTATTATGATACATATTTACCGGTCTGACATTTAATATGGAAAGAAAAAAACTAAATACCTGTTGTCAGTGGTCAATCTAAGGTCCGTAACAACTTGGCATCATTATCTGCACTCACTATCAGATGTAAGAGTGACTATAACCACAGGCAGTGTGACCAGATCCACCATGTTTACAGGGACACATATCATTTTGTCATATTTATGAATATGCATGAAAAGTGTTGCCCTGCAGTATGTATAATGTATTCTGCAGGATTCTTTATTACCTAACTGCTTAATTACAGGATTCTTCATTGCCTAATTCCCCAATCTTGTACACCGTCTTCTGAATTCTACATACTAGATGGCTACCCTTTTCATGTGCTGCCCATCAATATGTATATATGATATGTGTCCCAGAAAACATGGTGGGTCTGGTCACCCTGACCACAGGTGATCTGTAAAAATGGTCACCCTGCGTGTTGTATAGCTTCCATGCATGGGTATTGTGGGATGACTTACAATAAGAATACCTAGTAGAGGGGGACATTATAATAATGTGTTTTACTTGAACATACAAGCAGAAAGATCTGCTTTTTTAGAGAAACTGCCTGTAAAAGCCCTTGTATTAATTTTGATCTTTCAGGCAGCTGTTTAGTAGGTAGCTTCCTAATTTGGTAATTTTATGTGGAATTACTATTTTTAAAGATGCCAAATTAGGGGGCTATCTGCTAAACAGTACCTCACTTTATTATCAATTGGAATAATGTTAAACTGAAATTAAAAATTAACGAATTGAAACGAAGCAAAACAAAGTTTTCAGCCATACACATCTCTAGTAAAGACAATGGATTTGCTAGTTGTGGCATTGGTAGCATATGATGTTATTACTGTGTTTATTGGAAGAGACCTTATAGCAGATAGAATGCACTTAGACAAGGTGATCCACACCAGCTGTGGAAAATACCAATATATTGCTGCTTGTCCTCTCCAGAGTCTCCTCCTGTAATTTGTCTGGCTCATAGTCAAGTTCTTTCGGGATCAGTGGTAAATAAGCCATGTCTTCAATGGTTGTGAAAAAAAATTAGAGGGCATTTCCTGCCAGAGCAGGTACCGCTCAGCCATACTACACACAGTCAGAAGGTACAGGAGGGGAGAGGGAATGAGGCAAATGGAGGGGCTAAAATGAGACAAATGGAGTGGCTGTGGGAGGCAGATGGAATGAGACAAATGGAGGGGCTGGGGAGAGGCAGATGGAATGAGACAAATGGAAGGGCTGGGGGGAGGCAGACAGAAAGAGACAAATGGAGGGGCTGGGGTGGAGAAGGAATGAGACAGATTAAGAGGCTGGGGATTGAGAGAGGGATTGAGACAAATGGAGGGTCTGGGGGGAGAAGGAATGAGACAACTTAAGGGGCTGGGGATTGAGAGAGGGAGTGAGAAAAATGGAGGGGCTGAGGGGGAGAGAGAATGAGACAAATGAAGGGGCTGGGGGGAGAGGGAATGAGACAAATGAAGGGGCTGGTGGGGAATGAGACCCATGGGGAGGGCTGGTGGGAATAAGACACATGGAGTGGTTGCGTCGGGAGGGAAGAAGACACATGGAGTGGCTGGGGTGAGGTAATTAGACACATGGAGGGATGTAGGGAAGGTAATGAGACACATGAAGGGGCTGGGGGAAGGGAGGAGACACATTGAGGGGCTGGGGAGAGGGAATGAGACACATGGAGGGGCTCGTGGGGGTGAGACCTTTGGAGGGGGCTGGTGGGGGTGAGACACATGAAAGGGCTGGGGAAGAAATTGAGATACATGGAGGGTCTTGGGGGCAATGAGACATATGGAGGGTGGGGGGAATGAAACACATGGAGGAGCTGGGGGGGAATGAGACACATGGAGAGGCTCGCAGGAGAGAATAAGACACATGGGGGGAATGAGACACATGCGGGGGCCTCAGGGCAATTTTCACACCAGGGCTTGGTGGTTTCTAGTTATGACTGAGGAAGAGGTGTTAAGATGCTAAGAGGCCATGGCACTAATGCTGATGGTAGTTTGGGGAACATGACCCCTATCCTTCCTCAATATATTTTTTTTACTATGTTATTCCACTGGTGATGGATGGGTTGTTTTTATTATAATATAAATGGGGACAAGAATGTGTATTGTATAAATAAACACATTTTTATTACACTAAAATAGATGTTTGGGTTGAAAAATGGATTCTTGCTTGGTAGATTTACTAATGTTGTAACACTATTGCTGTAACACATGTCTAGTGGAGCTAAGTATGCTACGGAGTGTAGCTAAATAGGCAGCGGGGACCTGAATCTGCCCAGTGTTACTGCTGCAAACTGAGGGGGAAGCAGAAAGGAGTCTCTACTTTCCCAACAACTATGCTAAGCTAACAATGGAAAAAGGTAACTGTCTATAACTGTGTCTCTGTCTGTCTGTAACTCTGTGTGAATGTTGTTGTAACTGTGTGTGTGTGACTGTCTGCCTGTAACTCTACTTGTGTGACTGTCTGTGTGAGACTGTGTGTGTGACTATCAGCTTGTAACTGTGTGTGTGACTGTCTGCCTGTGACTGTATATGTGACTGCCTGTAACTGTGTGTGTGGCTCTCTACCTATGGCTGTGTGGGTGGCTGTATGACTGTGACTGTGTATGTGACTGAAAGCTTGTAATTGTGTGTGACTCTCTGCCTGTAACTGTGTGTGTGTGACTGTTTGTAACTGTGTGTGTGTGACTGCCTGTAACTGTGTGTGACTGTCTGCTGGTAACTGTGTGTGTGATCAACCCAATCAACAAGATGATGCTAGTTCACTGTGTCATACTAAATTTTCCAGCATCAGGAAATTATAAAAAACTGAGGGACAATCAGTTAATTTTTCAGGGTATTTACTAATGGTTGACTGATAAAACACTCCTTAGCACTGCATGGTGATTGTGGTCACAAGATTGGTCAGAAAACATTCACTGCTTCACTGTCATTTGCAGCACTGTCACTGACATTTGCAAATGGAACTGAATGAAAATTCAGAACCAAACAGTTTTGTTCTTTTTTTTCATTAAGTATAAATGTTGGGTTCATTTTCAGACTAAATGACCGAAAACCAAAAATGTCCATCATTTTACTTTAGCCCGAAAAACTACCAGTTACAAAACTGATTTTAAGCGTAGGAAAGCTTCTCACTGGGTCAAACTTCTCAGGCTTGAGCTTAGTAAAATTGTATTGTGTCAATTATTTTTGAAAAATTGGACCTGTGATTGGGAATCAGTTCCTTATAACCCCTTTTATCATTTGTACACCAATGTAACACTACTATGTGTATGTGCGACATATATTATATGTTCCAAGTTTCACACTTTTTCATATTTTAACCCTCACTATATGTCTGTATAAGATTATATTTTTATTTTGATGATAATACAAATAGTGCAGTGTTTTGAGACATTATCTGGAGGAAAACTAAAATGCTTGACAGATGTAAAGTACTTAAAACCACCTTTCACGTTTACAGACCCTGTCCCACACAGTTGAAGTTTGAGTTATTTTACCAGTAAGGAAGAAGAAAGGAACAGAAATGGATCTGGTACTTGGTAAGTAATATAATTATAGGTCTGAAACTACATAACTGTGAAAGCAGTTTTAAGTGAGGAGCGTGTTGTTCTGTCTGTCTATATATCTGGTCATTGGTGTGTTGCTCCATCTGGACAGCTACACCCACGGCCTGATTTCAGACCTCATCCTTCACTACCCGTGTACCTGTTTAGTTACTCCTGTGCGTCGTGTCATCCCTTCAATGACGCTTCAGAATCATTGATCACTCACTCAGATCATCTACTTATCCATCATAGTGTTTTTTCAGACTCCATCATTACCTATTACTATTCACTTAGTCCAAAGACTCTTTTCACTCATCAAATTAGTAACAATTGTCTCTCCACTCTGTTACCTTGAATCTTGGACCAATGTCCAAGTCTCTCTGCTGCCATCCACTGGGCAATCTGAGTCGCTCACTGCTAATTGGAACCTCAACACAGCTCAGTTCGCCCCCAAGTGACCTTCTACCATATTGCACGTTATAGATCTCATGGCTAATGATACTTAATTGCTGCCAAACCAATATCATCTATCTAAGGAGATTTTACACAATAGTGCTTCCTCTTAACTGTCATATTCGGTTATTACTGTATATATAAGTATATTGTAAATACCTTTCATTATTATTGTCATTAATGTTATTGCAAAGTTAACTCCATTGTGTCTGGACTCAAATATTACAGTATATGCCTATTGTGATAAAGTGCTTTCATTTACTTTTAAAACTTTTTGTAAAACCTAATAAAGAGACACTATTGTTACCAGAACAACTACAACTTGTTGTATTTGTTCTGGTGAATATAATACTTCCCTTCAGGCTTTTTTCAGTAAACACCTTCTTTTCATAGAAAAGATAGTGTTTACATTACAGTCTCTACTGGCCACTCCTGTGATGGCTACTAGAGGTGCTTCCTGGAGGCAGTGTTGCACAATGTGCAACACTGAATGTCAGTGTCTCCACCCTCTGCATGGAGACACTGAACTTTTTAATTCAATGCCTCTCTATGACGAGATGCTGTTTGACCAGAGCAGCTCCGCCCACAACCCACCTTCTTGTCTGAGATAATCAGATTTAACAATGTCAGCCAATCAAATGCTGTCCTATGGGAAAACATTGTGATTGGCTGTGATTATCATTACTGATGATCTCAGCCAAGGAGGCAGATCAGGTGCAGAGCCAGTACCAACAGAGTGAAATAAAGGGGGCTAGATAGTGTTTTTAACACTATAGGGTCAGAAATATATGTTTGTGTTCCTGGCTCTGTAATGTTACTTTAAACTGGTTTTGTGTGATGTTTTAAATGAATATTGATTGTATTTAGTGCCAGCCAAAAGTCTAGCAGGCAAACCTGACTGCTCAAGAAAAATCCTCAGATAAATTACGTTTGGAAGCACATTTATCAGACTTTTTAATGTCTTACCCTATTAGTCATTAAATAATATTTTAAATAAAAGCCTTTTCTCAACATATATTAGTACAATAAAGTTTTGAATCCTCCTCCGAAGCTCCTATAAGCCGTGCTGCAATTAGGGACATGTCTGCTACTCAGCGAGCAGGCAGTGGCTGCTTACTGTAATAAAAGCCATACCATTCAGCAGCTATTGCTGCCCAGTTGCCAGCTTGTCAGTAAGCAAATTCCAAATTTTGGTGTTTGTGCTAGAAAGTGGGGTCTCTGTTCACTTGGACCCATGGTAATCAGCAAATCAAAAATAAAAAAGGTCTTCAGCAATAAGTTCAGGTGGTTTATTCAGTCATCAAAATGAATGGGCCATATTTCAACACGTATATATGTGTCTTTGTCAAGTTGAGAAAGAAACATACAGTGCCTTGCAAAAGTATTCACCCCCTTGACTTTTTACCTATTTTGTTACATTACAGCCTTAAGTTCAATGTTTTATTAATATGAATTTTATGTGATGGATCAGAACACAATAGTCTAAGTTGGTGAAGTGAAATTAGAAAAATATAGACATAAAACTATTTTTTAGAAATAGAAAACAGAATATTGACATGTGCATATGTTTTCACCTCCTTTGTTATGAAGCCCATAAAAAGCTCTGGTGCAACCAATTACCTTCAGAAGTCACATAATTAGTGAAATGATGTCCACCTGTGTGCAATCTAAGTGTCACATGATCTGCCATCACATATACACACCTTTTTTGAAAGGCCCCAGAGGCTGCAACACCTAAGCAAGAGGCACCACTAACCAAAAACTGACATGGAGACCAAGGAACTCTCCAAACAAGTAATGGACAATGTTATTGAGAAGAACAAGTCTTCTTTTTAGGTTATAAAAAAATATTCAAATCTTTGATGACCCCCAGGAGCACCATCAAATCTATCATAACCAAATGGAAAGAACATGGCACAACAGCAAACCTGCCAAGAGACAGTTACCCACCAAAACTCACAGACCGGGCAAGGAGGGCATTAATCAGAAAGGCAACACAGAGACCTAAGGTAACCCTGGAGGAGCTGCAGAGTTCCACAGCAGAGACTGTAGTATCTGTACATAGGATGACAATAAGCCATACGCTCCAGAGAGTTGGGCTTTGTAACGGACCGTTTGCCCACAAGAGGTTAAAAAACTGTTTAGGCGATATTCCCCTTTTTTCAGATGCGCAGACAGCTACTGCAATCACCACTCTCCCGAACTGCAAACACACGAATACTGGAAACAGTCGAATAGGAAAAACCATGCAAACAGGTTTACACTCCTAGCAGTCAAACTGGAACAGCATACAATAAATCCTCCCCCAATAATGAGACGACACTTCACTTTGAGGGTTAAGCAGGAACTCACTTGTAATGGCCACACACTGGCTTTTATGCAAGTCCCCATGCAAGGGGACATCCCACAGGGTGGGACACAGTATAACCAATCGTTTACAGGAGAACCATAAAACACACCCACATTTACATCACAATCCCTCCTCTCTGTCCTGGAGATAAGTGTGAAGTAATCCAATTATCTCCCAGGACAGAGGCAAGACTCCATTAACCACATGGCAGTAACAATACAATAAAAGACATAAAATTACATACAGTTACATTTATTCCATAAAACATAGACATTCTACATATCCCCAGATAGCTTAGATCTGAGTGCACATTACTACCGAATGGCGCTCAGATCACATACATACAGTTCAATCGCCATGGAGCCAAAGTCTTTCATACAGTCTTTCAGTATACGGCTGGGCTCCATGGCATAGCTATCTGGGGTAGCATGGCTTTAACAGTCCGCAGAAAGGCACGAATAAACCTTTCTGCCGGTAAAATAAAAGTTTAAAATGCAGGACCATAGTCTAAAGGGAGCAGGCGAGCAACCAGGCCTCTCCAGTGGACAGTGGCGAGGTTGGTTCCGCCACACTTCTCCCCTTTACCAATCAGACTAACAGGGTATCTGACTTCCTGCTGGTCAGTGCCCTTGTTAGTCCAGCAGCCCACCCACAAAACACAATCAGTAATACAGTCCACCCACAATAACTGGTTACTACACCTGGGTAAAGGAGAACTTTGTCCATGTCCAGGTGCCTCACCATGGATGTGTGGGTGACTGGTAAGCGGACTGGGTGGGTTGCTGAGTGAGCAGAGACCAGCGGTACTCTGCCCTGGTGCCAGCACTACCACCTGAGTAATCTGGTTAGAGCCTGGTTCCTGGAGGGGGAGACCGACTTTCTCCCCTTTAGATACACAGCTCTGCTGCTGGATGGGAAGACCGACTGTCAACACTTCGGCTAAACGGCCCTGTTGCTGGGGGGCATGACCGTCTGTCTCCCCTTTGGATGCACATCCCTGCTTCCGGGGGACAGGACCGACCATCCCTAGCCCCTGTGAGGCATGTGCAGAGATCACGGTCCCATCTGCACGGGTGTGGGGCTTATCATCTCCCCTTGGTGGGCAAGGCTGCCGCTGAGCAGAGGGGGTAACAAGTTCATCTCCCTTACCCACTTTTTGTCGCTGGGGAGAGGTAATGACAAGCTCCTCTCCATGACTCTCTCTCTGCTGGTGGAGGGGGGGACCGACTGTCTCCCCTTTCAATATTTTGTCCTGCTGCTTGGGTGCGAGACCGGATGTCTCTGCTCCTGGCAGGACACTCTGCCTCTGGGGAGGAAGGACGGTACCTTCAGCTCCCTGTAACATACACTGCCGCTGGGGAGGAAGGACGGCACCTTCATCAGCTCCCTGTGACACACACTGCCGCTGGGGAGGAAGGACGGCACCTTCCGCTCCCTGTAATACACACTGCCGCTGGGGAGGAAGGACGACACCTTCAGCTCCCTGGGACACACACTGCCGCTGGGGAGGAAGGACGGCACCTTCAGCTCCCTGGGACTTGCTCGGCCGCTGGGGTCTCTCCCCCCTGGCTAAATCTGCTTTTAACTGCAGGTACTCTGCCACTCTTCTCCTTGTGTTTTGTACATATTTCTCTTCTGGATTGGGTCCGAAGAAAGCCAGCAGGCTTTTCAGCATAGCGTCGGACTCCTCCTGAGTGTAGCTGGGCGCCATGCTTGCTCTGCTGAAGTTGGCTCTTTTGTAGATAGGGTCGCTGTACGTGTCCTAGCATTACCCTCAATTTGTAAGTCCAGGGAATGGTGTTACCTTGTAGCTGTCCTTCTGGGCTGTGGGAATGATCCCGTCGCTTGCCACCAATTGTAACGGACCGTTTGCCCACAAGGTGTTAAAAAAACGTTTAGACGATATTCCCCTTTTTTCAGATGCACAGACAGCTACTGCAATCACCTCTCTCCCGAACTGCAAACACACGAATACTGGAAACAGCCGAATAGGAAAAACTATGCAAATAGGTTTACACTCCTAGCAGTCAAACTGGAACAGCATACAATAAATCCTCCCCCAATAATGAGACTACACTTCACTTTGAGGGTTAAGCAGGAACTCACTTGTAATGGCCACACACTGGCTTTTATGCAAGTCCCCATGCAAGGGGACATCCCACAGAGTGGGACACAGTACAACCAATTGTTTACAGGAGAACCATAAAACACACCCACATTTACATCACGATCCCTCCTCTCTGTCCTGGAGATAAGTGTGAAGTAATCCAATTATCTCCCAGGACAGAGGCAAGACTCCATTAACCACATGGCAGTAACAATACAATAAAAGACAAAATTACATACAGTTACATTTATTCCATAAAACATAGACATTCTACATATCCCCAGATAGCTTAGATCTGAGTGCACATTACTACCGAATGGCGCTCAGATCACATAAATACCGTTCAATCGCCATGGAGCCAAAGTCTTTCATACAGTCTTTCAGTATACGGCTGGGCTCCATGGCAAAGCTATCTGGGGTAGCATGGCTTTAACAGTCCGCAGAAAGGCACGAATAAACCTTTCTGCCGGTAAAATAAAAGTTTAAAATGCAGGACCATAGTCTAAAGGGAGCAGGTGAGCAACCAGGCCTCTCCAGTGGACAGTGGCGAGGTTGGTTCCGCCACAGGCTTTATGGCAGAGTGGCCAGAAGAAAGCCATTACTTTCAGCAAACATCAAAATGGCATGTTTTAAGTTTGCGAAAAGGCATGTGGGAGACTCCCAAAATGTATGGAGGAAGGTGCTCTGGTCTGATGAGATTAAAATTTAACTTTTCGGCCATCTAAAGAAAACGTTATGTCTGGTGCAAACCCAACACATCACATCATTCAAAGAACACCATCACCAACACCAACACCAGCATCATGCTGTGGGGATGTTTTTCAGCAGCTGAGACTGGGAAACTGGTCAGAGTTGAGGGTAAGATGGATGGTGCTAAATACAGGGATATTCTTGAGCAAAACCTCTACCACTCTGTGCGTGATTTGAGGCTAGGACGGAGCTTCACCTTCCAGCAGGACAATGACCCCAAACACACTGCTAAAGCAATACTTGAGTGGTGTAAAGGAAAACATGTAAATGTGTTGGAATGGCCTAGTCAAAGCCAATAGAAAATCTGTGGTCAAACTTAAAGATTGCTGTTCACAAGCGCAGTTTTGCAAGGAGGAATGGGCAAAAATCCCAGTGGTAAGATGTGGCAAGCTCATAGATACTTATCCAAAGCGACTTAGAGCTGTGATTACTGCACAAGGTGGCTCTACAAAGTATTGACTTTAGGGGGATGAATAGTTATGCACATTGACTTTTTCTGTTATTTTGTCCTACTTGTTGTTTGCTTCACAATTTAAAAAAAAAAATCTTCAAAGTTGTGGGCATGTTCTGTAAATTAAATGATGCAAATACTCAAACAATCCATGTTAATTCCAGGTTGTGAGGCAACAAAATACGAAAAATGCCAAGGGGTGTGAATACTTTTGCAAGGCACTGTATACATGTTGAAACATTACCCTGTGCTGAGGACCTTTCTTTTTTACTCCCTTATTACCAAGGGGAACCATGCACAGATCCCTCTCTTGCAACCACCCATGGGTATTGGGTAAGAGCTTTAATATAAAAAATAGGAATGGGGAGATCATTGTCCTCCTCCAGCCAAGTGTGTGTGTGTGTGTGTGTGTGTATATCTATATTTTCAGCTAGGATAATTTCATCTCATTGACTTGTTTATAATGTCGGCCCCAAATGGAGGTATGGCTAAGGCAGACTTTACACATTTCTTTGGTATTTTCATATCATACCAGCAATGGACAGCTAAACTGTAAAGTAGTTAGTGTCTACAGTGTCTCTTTTAAGTCTCTGCTGCACCAAACCGGATCCCAATTAGACTTCTCAGGCCCTAAAATGTATTACTGATATATTCAACATAGTTCACTTTAGAAGAAGTCAATCCTTTGAAACTTAAAATGTGTTTGTTAGGCTTTTATGTAGAAAATGAAAAACTGAAACACAACTGCAGGTTCAACTCTTTAATTTGTCACTTAAAGAGGAACGTTTAACAAGAACAAAATATAATTGTGAATTGTAGAGAATTTAGTATCTGCATTTTTAAAATTTCTTCTAATAATAATTTAATATTTAATATTTCTTCTAATATAATCTTCACTTTCAATAAATCAAAAATGTAAATTCACTTTAAATTGCTCGAGAGGCTGTGCAGAAAACATAACAATTTTGAATAAATAGATATGCAATTTAAATAGCTTGATGATTAGGAATTTGAAACAATTTGAATATTTGAATTGTCACTTTAAAATTTTTTAAGCAGTTGTACTTTAATTTGGTAGATTTTCGGTATGTTAACAGTCTCCAGTAACTTCAGAATGCATGGAAAGGAAGAGGGTCTCTTTAATGGAAATCAAATATCACTTTAAATCAGTTCAGGACATGTAGACACCATGTAGCCTCCATAAATAGTAATAAAGTCATTTTAATTTTAAACAAAAGTTGAACGCATCCTGGCAACTTTAGTTAATAATTTCCTAGAAAAAATAATCCAAAGTAAAAGTCTTTGTATTAATGGGATATCTATATCCAGAAAGAGAATCAATAAATGTGCTCTTATTCACTTTATTCAGGATTTGAATAAATTAAAGCTTTAAGTTTACCTTAGAGCAACGGTTCCCAAACTGTGTGTCGCGGTGCCCCAGGGTTTTCCTGGTGATATCATTATAGCACCAGGAAACATTTCCGTTGAACAGGGGCCCGGTCAGTGTAGTGTCGACAGGCTGAGAGGAAGTGACAGCTTGTCACTTCCTCCCAGCTTCAGGCAGCTTCATGCAGAAAAAGAGGTAGAGGAGGCAGCTACAGAGGAAGCATGAGGAGAGTAGAAGGAACACGAAGAGCTGCTCCAGACCCCTCACTCCCAACAGCCAGGAGTTAGGACCAGGATTCCAATCAAGCCACCGTACTGGACACACAAGGTAAGCTATCAGGAGAGTGGCTAGAGATATAAAAAATATCACTTGAATGTGTTTATGTCAGATTGTGTGTGTGTGGGTTAGGCTGTGCATCTGTGTGTCTGTATATATATGTCAGTGTGCTTCTGTGTGTATCTGTGTCTGTGTGTGCGCACACATCTGTGTGTCAGGATGTGCGTCCTGGTGTGTATTTTTATGTCAGTGTGTGTATCTGTACCATGGTGTATGCATGTGTCAGTGTTTGTGTGTATCAGGGTGTGTGTTTTTATGTCAGTGTATGTATGTGTGTAATGGTGTGTGTGTATATGTCAGTGTGTATCTATGTGTCAGTGTGTATCTGTGTGGGTATTTGTTGGTGTGTATATAAATTTGTGTGTATGTGTTGGTGTATTTATATGTTAATTGTTATGTTATGTTATGTTAATTTGCATGTATATCTGTGTAAGTATGTATGCATGTGGTAGTGTATGTGCATACATCCAAGCAGTCAAACACCAACACAACATACAAACACACTCCTGCAATGAAACATAAATATTACATACAAACACACCCGGCATTCAACTCCAAAATGATATACAAACACACCCCTTCACTCAAACACAAAAACTTCACACAAAAGTACATCTGCATTTAAAAGTGAACATTACGTTCAAACACACCCCTGTATTAAAACACTAGAACTATATGCAACCACCCCTTCAAACACCAACGCTGTACATTACACTATAGCGTCAGTATATGCCGCAGAGCTGTACAGATATACAACCAAGAAATATTGACTTGGGGCTCCTTGAAAAAATATTGAAATATTAAGGGTGCCTTGAACCTAAAAAGGTTTGGAACCACTGCCTTAGAGCATGATTTCATAGGTTTCATAAACAATAGACGTGTCTTGGAGTCCTAGGACAGAATTGGCGAAAACAGCAGAAACTAGATCACAAGCAGAGGTTGGCAGGCTAGCTTGGTAAGTATTGAGCTCAAATGGCAGTATTAAATTGCTAGATACTAATTAAATGAGCAATTCAATAGTGCCGTGAGTCGGACTAACTAGGCGGGTTTCTGATGTCAGACGCAAAGGCGCCTTACGAAACCCAGAAGTCCGGCAACGGGATCGCCAATAGCGGTATGTGACAGCTTTACATTTTGCAAGCCTAACAATAGACAATGAAAAGAATGGCAGATTTAAGAATCACAGACTCTGCATACTTTTACTAGTAATTCAATCTTCGGAACTATTTCTGCAGTATTTAATTTGAGACAGTGATCAAGATGACAATTGGTACGGTTTTACTTGGAGAGCTTCATTCTGAAAAACATCTGTTCACATAAGTAAGTGCTTCAGAAGAATGAGAAAATTCTTGGTGCATGCATTCTTCAACTGACAAATGTTCCATTTTCAAAATACTTTTGGTAAAATCCTGGGAGAGACAATTCATAAAATTTGACTGAGGTCTGAGCCACATTGAAGGTCCATGATTTTCATTTGAACATTTCTCTGAGTCTCCATTACATATAGAAAGAGTGGGGTTTGCTACCCTATTCAGGGTCCTTTCTTGAGCACGTATATCTTGGAATCTCTCTTGGAACTGAACTATTGTAGCCATGTTATAAGGATCATATTTTGTAGACTACAATTTCAACATGCTTAAAGGGACTCTCCAGTGCCAGGAAAACACCTCCCATCCCCGGTTGCTGAAGGGGTGAAAACCCCTTCAGTCACTTACCAAAGGCAGCAACGATGTCCCTCGTTGCTGCTTCTTCCTCCCCTTCATCACGTCAGCCGGCGGGGGAGACTGATCACACCCGCCGGCCGGGGAGACCTAATGCGCATGTGCGCCAATGCCACGCGCGTGCATTAGACCTCTCCATGGGAGAGCATTGAAAATGCTTTCAAATGCTTTCCTATGGGGATTTTAGCGATGCTGGAGGTCCTCACACAGTGTGAGGACGTCCAGCGACGCTATAGCACAGAAAACCTGTGCTATGGACCAGGAAGTGCACTCTAGTGGCTGTCTAGTAGACAGCCACTAGGGAAGGACTTAACCCTGTAAAGTAATTATTGCAGATTATGAAAACTGCAATAATTACAGTTGCAGGGTTAAGGGTAGTGGGAGTTGGCACCCAGACCACTCCGATGGGCAGAAGTGGTCTGGGTGCCTGGAGTGTCCCTTTAAGAAATTAGTTACATTTGGATCTTGAAATTGGCACTTAAAGAGTACTAATTATATCTGAAAAGTTTTTGATGTGATTAAACAAGACATGCACAAGTTGATCTTTTGATTGAAGCTTCAAATTTAACCCGTTACATGACAGCTCTCCTTTTGGATCCATCCAGTATAGAATGACGATTAAATGTAGAATGCCTCAGGGTCAAGCCAGTATATTGAGCCCTATAACTCCATTCCTAGTATGTGGGGGAGTTGAACTCTTCATGTTAACAAACTTAATCTCTGCATACCATAGGCCACATCATGCCTTTTGCACAATCTGTGGACTAGTGACTTATTCTTGTCTCTGTACCTTGCTTTTCAGTTACCAAAAACATTAGACGTTGTTCCGAGCACCCTCATTTTCTATTACACAAAATACAAAATGTTCATGAGATGAATTTATAAATAAATCATGGTGTTTCCCTGTTTAGGACAATCTTATGGAACAAGTCAATATAATGAAGAAGGTCTGAAAGATTTCTTTACGAGACAGAAAGTTCCCATTTCCCTTGCCATCAATGATACTTACGTGTTTCTTAAGGATTTAGAAACGTCTGGTTACATCTCAGAAGATTTGTTGGTAAGTCATTAGTCTTTTCCTAATGTTGGATGTTTTTGTATTTTCATGTTGAAGGCAATGATGTGAGTGATGTCTTTCCATTAAAATTGAGAAATTAGAGCTCTACATCTGGAAACTTGTTGTAGCTTGCCTTTTTTAGATTTAAACCAACATCTTAATAAAGAAATGGATTGTTACAGAACATTTGGGTCCAGTCTGGCATTAAGCTCTACTTTTTCCATTGCATGCCTTGGAATGTCTAACTAGTGTAAGAGCTCCCACTCAGCATGATTCAACTATGAATCTTGCCCAAAAAATACTTTAAAAAAAATCATAGGTATGCACACCTTAAATCAGTATATAAGTTGTTTTTTTTTAGTCAAACATTTATCGAATACCCAAACATTTATTTTTATTCTGCAAATTTACATTTTAAAATTGTAAAAAAAAAAAAAAGAAAACTGATAAAAAAGGAGAAACGTTCTACAGATGGCTTCATCATGCATTTGTCGGCATAGTTCTCTAGGGCACCCTCCATTCTGGTGATGGAGTAGAACCTTCTGCTGTGTAGGGATGATCAGAGGTGCCTTGTCTTGGCAACATTACATGCAAAGCAAGATAGTTTAAGCCGTGATTTGTCATAAGTGCGATTATGGCTCACAGCTCACGAAAACCCCAAATCAAAGCACATTAATAGAAATACACTTTCACTGTGTGAAAGTGTATGTCTACAGGAGGCGGTGTGTGTGTATGGGAGGCAGTGATAACCACTATAGCTCTGTATAGTGATTACGCTTTAAGGGCCCTGGGGCATTATTTGCTACTTCAAAACATTTATAATGGTCTAACATTGACCTGAGCTCTCCTCAGCACCCATAGACCATATCTGTGTTAGTCATAAAGTGGATTTTATGCTTTTTCATTATCAATGTCGATTTTGTCGACAGCAGTGATGAGCTGAGAGGTGTGGGGTGGGTTTGGAGCCTAGAACTGGGGCATAGCAGCACCCAGAAACTGTTGGCAACACAATCACTACACTGAACTGTAATGGTTATGTTGTTTTGAGTGCATCAATAATGAATATATACACTGATTGAAAACCAGTGTGGGGCTCACAAAATTGCTAGAGAACAAATTCTAGAAGCTGAGCAAAGAAAAATAAATGTGGGTGCTCTTGCTTGTCATATTTATGTCCATAGTTCCAAAACTGTTATATGTTCGGTAGCCCATTGGTGATTTGAAATCTTTTTAACATAGACTGAATAAATACTTTCCTCCCATAGAAGTCATCGATAGTTACCGAGCCTGCCTGTAAAGCTGTTTATAGATGTCTGTGCTGGATACAAGAAAAGGAAAGGCCACTTAAAGATTTCTTTGATTTTCTGTTACGTGAACTCTACATAGAAGGATTTCCAGATTTGAAACCCATTTTAACAAGTAAGTCCCTTATGTTGCTTAGAAGCAGATAACATAAAAATCTGAACAAAAATAAAATACAAATTTACTGAAAATTAGATTAAAATAATAGTGTTACAGCAAAAAAATAAACAATTTAAAAAATAAATATTGGGCATTGAAAATTATGGATTTGACCTCATTGTCTATGATTCTAGATTGCACCTTACTCCCTGGTCTGAGGTTCCATTCTTGTCTGCCAGTCTCCACAGGACCCCCAGATATTAGTATCAGTAACTCCCTGATAATTGATAAGGGAGGAACTGCCATACAATAATATATTAGGGACTAGATACCAACAGATCTTAATAGATTTTGTTTTCTTATTAATTTGCAGTATTTTTTTGGTATGCTCAAATGTTAAAAGTTTTTAAACAAATGCAGAATGGGGCACCATAAGCGTGCCTCCTTAGCCATGCCTCCCACGTCATAAATACTTCCTTCTCAAAGATTGCACATGGCTCAGCCACTGACAGTACTGAGTGAGCATCTTTTAATTTACAACCCGGCTGCAGACAGTCAGATAAACCATAAACAGGTAGAGGTACGCTTTGCTCTATGTTTCACTGAGTATCCTCTCCTTCCAATACAGGTTGCTTTGCTGTTCAGATCATTCAGAAATGTCTGTGGCTGTGCATACATTTAATAAGGACATCTTTATCTACTGTGCTGTGTTGTGGCTAAAGAGGAAAACTTAAAGTGCAGAAAAATAGTTTTTGGATTCATAGTTATCAAGTTTTAAACAAATCTCTGCATTTCTGTATAAAGTGGTGATGCTTTATTAAACAGTTTATAAAGGAACCACATTTTAATCATATTTCATGCGCCTTCCTTGTGAATTTGGTGGAGTAAATTGCTTCCGTTGCAGGGAAAGTAGTGCTTTAGCTGTAATAAACAGAGAGAGTCCTTCTTCTTAGAATAGATGTTTGCACTGTAGACCGATATTCGTCAATTTGGCAGTTTGGCTCTTCTGAATACCAGTCATGCTAAATATTTGGAGAAAATACCCAGACAAGCTGAAAAGGAGAGGAGAAAAGGCACCTATTCTTCTGCTGCAATGCAAAATCGTGAAAATTTTGACTACTATATGTGACAGACAGGCAACAGAGCGTGTAAAACCCACACCTCTATAAGACAATTGTACCAAAACAATCACTTATCGTAGTAATGAAAGCAGCTTCCTCTCAGGATATTCCAGACTTTATCCCTTACAAAATGGAAAATGTAAATAGATGGCAGAGAAGTATAGCTGATAATCTGGAGAAACAAAACACAACACAATAGAGTGATATTGTAAATAAACATAAGAACTGCGCAAATATAAGTGGAACTCACAAGATGTAAAAAGTAAAATACAATACATACAATAGGTGGATCACATGTCTTGATGCGTCTAAAAGAAACACAAAATAATATAGTGCAATATTGCCAATATATATAATGTATGGATGTTATGGGGATAAAGTACTCACAAGCCGGGAGCCAAATAATAACATATGGCTCTCATGAGTGATGCAATGGGACTTTTTAGTAGGATGTCCCCGTCCTTCTTCCAGATGTTCCTGTAGCTTTCCAGGATGAATAGGATAAATTCGAGCTGCATAAGCAGATTGTCTTCAAAAAAGAACTTTATTAATCCAAGATGAGTGTAAAAATGTATCTGGGGAAATAAAAACCAATAAAGAAAACAATAAAATCGGTAGAAATGGATAAAAATAGACAATAGGGCTAATTCAGCCCAAAGTCTGGACCTGCCAAATGGCTTCGCCCTGTGCCAGGGGCTACCTCAGTCGGAAACCGGTAAAAGTATATATATCATTAGATCATAGCACCAGGGAAATATATTGCGGCAATTTATTGCTGGTCCGCGAAAGCTTTCATCCGATGGTATAGTAGGATGAAAGCTTTCGCAGACCTGCAATAAATTCTTGTGGACCGGCGCTGGTCCGGGGAGCAACAGTTGAAGACCACTGGTCTATACGATTCTTTTAAATAGTAATTAGTAGACATAATAACAGTATCTACCCCCTTATCCGCACTTTTTATAACATTATCTTTGCAGTTTTTAAGTTCTTTCAAAACGTAATTTTCCTTTTTAGTTAGATCAAAATTTGCAGTTTTTAGGTCACCGATCACCATGTTATAGGACATAAGGCCAGTGTACATTGATGGGCTTCTAATCTTTATGAATCTTGTGAGTGCATTACAAATAAAAGTGTTCTGAGTAGAATACAGTCTTGCGCTATGTGTCTGTTTCTCTCTTTCTTTCCCTAACAAGCACTGAAGGGGAAAGGAGAAGAAATACGTTTTATCCTGTTTGATATATTCTGCCTTGTTCATCTCTAAGTCTGTGAGTGCAATACAGCCTTATTTTTGGTGTTAAAGTTATCTGCACCATATGTGGTTCTTCTTCGTTTTTTTTATTTCGGTAGCTTATATTTTTATATATTTATTCTTTGAAGACATTGAGGAATCTTCTTATAATCTACTACCTGAAACAATGGTAACCTGAAACTTTGTTGTTAACCGCTGGTGTTTGTCTTGGGGTATTATACATTGTATTTTGTCTATATTCAACCCTGTAACTTTCCAAAACACCATAACACCTGTACATTGGAGGTACTATTTTAATAAGACTTTGCTGAATACAAAGATTTGTGTTTTAAAACACTAAAACATATCTCACAGTGAAAGTGCAGTTTTTGTGGAAGAAATGCAATAAATAAATATGGACACTAACTTTGGCTAGGGTTTGTGACTAAGTGGCTACTAAAAAAGAAAAAACAAACTCCATTTTAAATACCTTAGGTTGTCTACTTTTGCAAATGGTATGCCATGATGGAGGTAATTCTCATTCCTGGGCTGCCGTACAGTCTCAAAGGCAACATAATCAATCTGGCAAATTGTTTTTGTTGCCTTTGAGACAGTATGGCAGCCCAGGTCTCAAAGGCAACATAACCAATTTGCAGGTTGGTAAGAGTCATGTAACGGACCGTTTTGCACACAGGGGTAAAAACCGTTTAGGCGATCGTCCCCCTTTCCAGAGATGCAGGCACAGCTATTGTAGAACACCAAACACGCAAACCGCCAATAAGTGAATGCTCCAAACTCCCGAACGGCATCCAATATAGCACTCCAAACACACGAACAAGAACCATACGAATCGCTGCTAGCAGACGAATAGGAAAAGCATCCAAGCGGCTTACACTCCTAGCAATCAGTCTCTATCAGCATCAGTAAATCCCCCCAAAGACGAGACAAGGCTCCGTGTTGAGGGTCAAGCAGTGGTCTGTTTAATGATGGCTACCTGCCCAGTATTTATGCAGGTCTCCCACCTGGTGGACACTCCCCTAGGGGACCAAATGGGAGACTGTGACAAGGGACAGACAATCAGCAAAATAGGACACACAGTCACATTGTATTCCCACAATGCATCCTGGCTTCCTCCTCTCTGCCCTGGAGATAATTGAGAAGTAATTCAATTATCTCCCAAGACAAAGGCAAATCGCCATTATGCACGTGGGGATACTAACACACAAATTACTATTAAAATACACTATGTGAGACACATAACATTAAAAGCATACATTTAACATATCCCCAGATAGCTCAGGTCTGAGCGCACATTATTAAGCGAATGGCGCTCAGACCACACGAATACAGTTTAATCGCCATGGAGCTAAAGTCTTTACACAGTCAAATGGGCTCCATGGGATTTCTATCTGGGGTATAACATATTCCAGTAAAACTACCGAACGCCGGGCTGTTCGTGCACTTTCCCCGACCAAGAAGGGAGGTCGGCGGCTTCAGCGGTGTTTGCGCAAAACTGTGTCCGATTTCAGTTCCATGAATTAAGCGGATGTTTAAAATGGCCGCAACCTCGTGTTCGTGATACGAATGGCGGCCACCCAGCATTCGTCAATTAAGCTGCGGTTAACCGCAGCTTCAGGGAGGCTAATTGCCGGCACACTCCAGCTCCCAGGTGGTCCAGTCATTCGTGCGGTTGTTCGGTAGATTGAATCTACTGAACACCAGGCAGAAAAGCACGAATAAAGCTTTTCTGCAGGCAAAACAAAGTCTTTTAACATGGGGGCCATAGTCCAAAGGCAGCAGGCGAGCAACCAGACTTCTCCAATGCAATGTCACATCTCTCCCCTTTTCCAAACAGACTAACAGGGTGTCTGACCTCCTGCCGGTCAGTGCCCTTGTTAGTCCAGCAGCCCACCCACAAAACACAATCAACAGCACAGCCCACCCACAATAAATGGTTACTACACCTGGGTAGAGGAGAAGCTTGTCCATGTCCAGGTGTCTCACCACGGCTGTGCCGGGTACGGGTATGCTGACTTGGTGGGTTGCTGCGTGGGCGGAGTACACTGCCTTGGTGCCAGCGCTACTGGGAGGGTAGCCTGGTTGAAGCCTGGTTGTTGGAGGGGTAGACCGACTGTCTCCCCTTTGGACACACAGCCCTTCTGCTGGAGACCGACTGTCTCCCCTTTAGATACACAGCTCTGCTGCTGGAGACCGACTGTCTCCCCTTTGGCTACACAGCCCTGTTGCTGGGGGGCAGAACCGACCGTCCCTACCCCCTGTGCTGTATGTGCAGAGACCACGGTCCCAATTGCCCGGTTGTGGGGCTTACTGTCTCCCCCTGGTACATTAAGCTGCCGCTGGGGAGAGGGAGTAACAAGCTCCTCTTCCATATATACTTCCAGCCGCACTTTCCCCGACCAAGAAGGGAGGTCGGCGGCTTCAGTGGTGTTCGCGCAAAACTCTGTCCGATTTCAGTCACATGAATTAAGCGTTGAACACCGCTGTGCATTCGCATGTTTAAAATGGCCGCAACCTCGTGTTCGTGATATGAATGGCAGCCACCCAGCATTCGTCAGTTAAGCTGCGGTTAACCGCAGCTTCAGGGAGGCTAATTGCTGGCACACTCCAGCTCCCAGGTG